GAGCTTCCATGTTGGCAGGGCATCTGAGAGCCTGGCTTCAGGCAGTGTAGATATGCATGAACAATGTCTGTGTACATACAGATGTAAGAGATGTAAGATATGTAAGAGGTGTATATGCTAGGTCTTTTGGCTGCACGTGAGAGCTACGAGACAGCTGAGGCCTCAAAGGTGCAGAGCGACGCGGGGAACGTGCAGGCGCAGGGGGGGGTTTGCTCTCTGGGTTTCACGTGCGGTGCAGGACCTTGGGGTGAAGCATGGTTGGGGTCATGTTTCAAATCATGGAAGGTTAGTGAGGGTTGCTTTGGTCATTGTCATTGCTTTGGTCACAGAAAGACTCGACGTGCTCATGGTTTCCGCTTGGGTCGTTGTGGCGTTTGTAGTCAAAGCTGTCAGTGTCAACGGCCTGCGCATCGATGGTTCCTTCTTGTCGTTGCTTTGCCTCCTTGTGGTCGGGGTTGCCGCTGCTGCCTGACAGCGGGAAGGCGAAAGACATACATGCACCAATAGCAAGAAAACACATACGTCAGTACTTCGCATCTTCAGAGACTCTTTCTTTACAACACCTGGTTCAATGAGATTATTGTGCTGTGCAGGCGGGAAAAGAATTTGAGACCGTCGCCGAAGTGAAGGCTGGCCATGTTGGCTGGTGGGGTGATGGGCGAGGGCATGGGAGAAATGAAGCGCACTCTGCGGCACGCTCAGTTTCATATCGCAGGTTGAGCTTGCTTGAGGCATAAGCAATTGACACAACACAGTCTCTAGACGCACTGACTGTGAATCATTTAGACCTCATTCATCTTGAAAGGCCACTGTGCGTTTGCAGCGTGCTCCAAGAGACTCTTTTCTTTGCTTTGGAATAGCTGGATCTTTTCAGGCACATTTTGAAGCAGAAAACCAGCATAAAACTCGTGAGGCCAATGTCGGAAGATTCGAAACCACGGGTTGTTTTTGTGTCTTTTCGGAGGACACCAAGCGGCGAAGTTTCCATAAATGGAGCCCCAACGAGTCAACACATGCTGCCAGATGCTGATGTATTTGCAGTCAGCATTTTGCCTGAGCATGTGTCAAAGCGAGTGTTGGTCTCCTTGTCGATGGCTTTAAGGGAACCAGCATGAACTATGGGTTCTTGGGCCCTCTTATTTCGGCCGATGTAGCACATTTCTTTCGTCCGCAAAATTCCTCTCGGCCCCTACTTTACCAGCAAAGGCATGGATAAGACGGCTAGAGAACCTTGGCGGGAATGTGCAACTCACTTTACCACTTTAGCACTCTATAGTCTATGGTGTTTGGCAAGATCGCTGTGGTAAACACCACTTAGGACTTTTCCGGGCCAAGCTGAAGGAAGCGGCTTTGACTTTTTGATCCGCGGCTCAAACAAGTAAAGGGACTCCCTCAATGAGCGCTTGGCACTCCAGGGGCTCAAAGATGATCTTTCGATCATTCTGCCCCTCTATCAGCTTCGCTTGAGAAGATTGACCGTTCACGTGAGTGATCTGGTTGGGTTCGGCGCTCTCCAGGAGATCGAGCTCAAGGAGGATGCCAGCGCCAACCCCTACGTCGCCACGGGGACCACCGCGGAGTGCCTGGCGCTGATCTTCATGATCGTGGCCAGGGCCTCGGTCCGTTCAAACCCTTGGTGGAAGGGGTCGGGGGTTAACGGATGAATCAACCTGGCTGAAGCTTTTGTCTCAAGTCCCAGTCTCAGGCAGCTGGAGATACATTGAAGTGTGAAAACCGCACTTTGCCAACATCTGGTTGAGGGTTTGCTCTGCCGCCCACCTTTCTGGGTGCTTGAGCAAGGACTCATGACAAGACGGCGCTTGGAAGAGAAATGGATGGCTTCCCCTAGCTATTGGATGGCATGTGTGCAAGGTCCCCGGCATCGTCTCTGGAGAGAGGAGCTTGTGGGAATGTGCATACAAACAAGTGTTGCTGTTGTAGATGGTGCATGTTTTGCAATTTCGCGCTGTTGCCTTGGTAATTCAATTTCTGAGCCCAGCGACAGATTTGCTCTTGGGTTGGAACAGTTTCCTGTATCTTTGAAAGTTGCAAGCAACTTCGGAGTAAGACCTGCACACAGAGGAATCTACCCCATCTATGCACTTGACTGGTAAATACTGCAGGAGCCAATATTATTGACATGTCCAGCCGTTGCAACTTGGACGCCCTTGCGACTATGGACTCATCCCTTGTTCTTCGGCACCATCCTCGTCGAACGGCTGCGATGGAAATCGCAACCTCTAGTGTATTCACTCCTTTAGGCACTGGCAGTGGTCCTCCCTGGGTTTCGGGGTTCGGCACGGGGGCGTGCTCAAACGAAGGGCACTGGGGCTGGTCCCTTCGGATTACTCGACGGCTTCCGGGAGCGATGTGGGATTGCCCATCCGCGACCCTAGGCGCAAAGCCATTTGTTTTTGTGTTTCACGAAGCATTGGTTTGGGAGACTTGTAAGAAGGGGGCAGGATGGCAAGAAGGGAAGATGCTGGGATCACTTTGGACAATGTGGGGAACGCGTGTTCTCTCCCTGCGTGTGGGTTTTGCCCAAATTGGACGGCTGAGGCCTGCATGATCTGCTACTTGGAGTGCTGCAAGCACCTGGGACGGAAGGGTTGGGCGCAAGGGCTGTCAGGTACCGAGGTGCAAGGTCCCTCTCGCAAACCTTTCATCACTTGCCCATTTGCCAAGCAACCTTGGCGTCCATGCAGGTGAAATAATCAATAAAGGGAGGAGTTCGGTGGACGTGTTCGGGAGTAGGATTAGACTATGCCCATGGAACCACAGATCCCTGCATTCTGCTGGCAGGCCCATCAAATCCTTGGGAAAGTCTTTCAGCATCAACCCAGTGCTTAAAAAGAATATCATTCGGGCCTGGCTCCTTGACTGGAGACGGGCTGACACAGGTTGTGATAGTTGCTCAATTTGTGTCTATGCCCGGGTGACAGGATAGTTGGGGCAGAAAGCGCACAGCCGAGCTCCGTTTGGCTGACGAAGTTGTGGACTGATCCACCCATTCCCCGGGCTCCTTTCAGCGGTGGGTCTATACGGAGCAGGGAGAGAGAGAGAGAGAGAGAGAGAGAGAGAAAGACAGATGCCACGATCAATTGGAGAAGCGAGAGAGGCCCACAGGTCCCTTGGTGTCGTTTTCTAGCTCGGTTTGTTTCAGCACACTGAGCTGCAAGCATGATCAAGGATTCTATAAAATGTATGTTTTTTGTTTCCCATTTTGTTTTTTGTATTTTTACGTATTAGTTCATCAACTTTTGCCAACATGAAAAAACAACATATTTCTTTATATCTTTGCTTTGCGGCACACTATTGAGCAAGCGATTTGGTAGTTACCCAGGAAGGACCCAAACTTCGGCTGTCAGAAGGAAACTACATATTTTTTGCCCTGATTAGTGCACCCCCGAATAAATCAGGGGTTGCCTTGGAAGAACGGGTCCCTGGAGTTGTGTGAAATGAGAGGCCAACATCTATGGGCTCGGAAAAATGGAGCCTAGTCCATCTTTTTTGGGCGTGACGCAGAAGAGCCACGAGACTTCCGCCAAGGTAAGCTGTCGCAGTGACATGCGCGCGATTTTCTGGACGAGATGGCGTCACCACCTCACAGAGCGTGGAAATTGTTCCTCAGCCAGGGGCCTCCCATTTATAGTTGTCCTTTTGGTTTCCCTTGAAGATGGGTCCAACATTTGGGACACTTTGCCCTTTCAGTGTTCTTCTCCAGGAGGTTGGTGGTGCCAGGCAATCAATTGGGTTTTGGCCGTGAGGCAAACAGAGTTTCACGTGGCAGGGGCCAGTCCCAACGATTTTCGATGTCTCAGTTGCCTCTGGATTTGGGATGGTTTGATCTTGCATAGATGGTCGCTGAGAGTCAGCTGAGCGGTAAGCGGTAGCCACGACAAATGGCCATGATACATCGGTCTCATGGCTGTGGCAAGCACACCAGTGGCAGAGTGGAAATTGGTATTGGACAATTTTGGAGCTGAAACGTTGTGTGGGCTTCTGGGCTTCTGACCCTTGCCAATTATGGCTTCAAGTGCGGTGCTGCTGCTACGATAGCCGAGAGCCCCGACAGGATACCATTCGTGGGCATTTGTTTCAGCAGGAGTTTTTGGGTTGTTTGAGCGATCTTCTTTGACCATCCGTTTGGTCCAATGTGTATGAGGGGGGAATATGCCCTCGCAGAAATACTTGCTTTTTGCGTTGTGCCCACATCTCTTGCCAGACAAGAAGTCTTCGGGCTAATTCAATTGGTGGCTTGGAGGTTTGACGTGCTTGATATCAGCCCAATGAGGAAATCTTCCCTAACCTCCAGAAGCAGTGCAAAGCACGGAAATTGAACGGGTCCTGGAACGGAAGCCGTGGCCCATGTTAGCCGCATATAATTGGAATGTCAACTTGAGTAGGTTTGCTTTTGGTTTCCTTTCAAGCCATCCTCATCCGAATGCCCTAAAGAGGCCCAGCTCTCAAATCATGCTTAAACTCCACCGGCCGTCCGTCATTTTGCGGGGCTCTGCGGCGGGGAGGGTGCTCCTCTGAGCGAGGCAGCATTGCGGCGCGTGAGTGTGCTCAGAGTGGAAAACAATGGTCTGGCGGATTCGTAAGCATGGCAAGATGTTGGCCCCACTTGAGGCACGAACAAAGACGATTCGGGTAGATTAATGGCAGTAGGGGGGCAGTCCCAAACAGAAACGGATGCGGCAAGAAGCACTTTCGATCCGATACATGGTTCTGGGCATCGCGGCATCACGCTTCAACACCTGGTTTGTTGCCCGCCCTCAAGTCTTTGAAGGCGGCGCACAGTGCCCATCTTGTCCAAATGACACTTCACTGGAACATTTCTTTCGGCACAATGTGCTTAGTTCGCTCATGCGCGGCTGGGGCTGGGGGTGTGACCTAATTACTTTGTGCATTTGCAGAAAATAATGGGGACGGTACAGTTTGATCAGTCATGGCTCCTCATCATCGTACGAGGGGGCAGAACGTACTCGTCTGTGCAGGTGTTCGACCTGTCTCTCCGGCGTGCTTCTCTCGGTGTCTGAAGTGGGGGAAGGGAGGGGGTTGGACTCCAACCGTGCATGGTAGCGCACTGCCCAAAGGTGTTTGTGCACAGTGCAAATCCAAGTTTTAGGGTCTTGGGTTGCCTCTATTTTGGTAAACTACGCAGACCCCCGTACAGATTCTAAGGAGGTCAACGGGTAGGGTCAGGGTCGATGTCCAGCAAGCTCGTGGCCGTCTCTCTTTGGATGGCTCAGCGCCCCAGAGTGCACATCCGGACTCCTGGGTAAATATCACCATGAGGGCAATTTGCATTTCAGGTTCGGAGTTGTCCAACCGCGCAGAGATGCAACAATGCAAATCCAGTGGGGAGCAGCCGCGCAAACGCCTAGTGGAGCAGATTTTGTGGTCAAATTGTCATCAGGATTTGACATCTTCCAGGGATGGGGCTTGAGTTGTGCGTGTGCGTGTGTGTTGGTTCTTAGTTCTTAGAAAGCAATGAAGAGGCAACCAAATGGACCCGCCCGCTGACCATCGGTGAGAAGCCTCTGAGCGTCAAAATTACTGTAGGTCCCAACAGGGACCATTGCGACTTGCCCTTGCCAGGGTGCCCCGCGGCCGCAAACTCCTGTGCTGGGGCGCCCATTGAGGGGTGGGGGGGCGATGGGATGGGGTTGGGGGGGGGGATGGGGTTGGGGGGGGGCATGGATTCACTACATTTCCCCGCAAAACAGCAGGGGTGGAAACATGTCATTTTCACCGTGGCACATGTAGGTTGGTGAATGTTTGGCCAGATTGCCGTCCACACTCCCCCCCCCCTCCCCGCCATTTTTGCTGTTCCACTCGCAAAAAAGCGGCCCTGAAATTGCCCCAGATTTGTTTCTCATATTCTCATCGCAAGGCACTTGTGGATTGGAGTTGGCACGGATCTCCCTACTTTCAAGGGACACCAAAAGTTGATGTTTGAACAGTGGCACAGCCGTGTGCAAACAGGTGGCACTGGCAACCAATGCAACCCGTGAAAACAAAAGGACCCGAGCGGTTGAAGGTTGGCGAAGGTTCCACTGTCAGGCTGGTCCCTTTGACCTTGACCATGACCATGCCTATAGCATTGGTACACAGCATCATTTGCTGTACATGCTTGCATTTGCAGCGCATTCAGTGCGGGCTTGTGCGATTGTTGCCAATAAAGCTTACACAGTGACTCCACGTCAATCAAGGGGTGCATGAAGAGTGATGTACGGTGGAAGGTCCACTGTGAACCTACGAGTTTGGTGGGTGAAACGTGGAATCCCTTGAATAGCTAGGTATGCACCTGCTATCCCCCCAAGCCCACATTTGAAGAGACGTTTGCCAGGGTGTACGGTACTTTTGTGTCATTTGCACCTTTTTTGCCCAAGCCTCGCAATATGTGAGGTTCATGCGTCCATACAGCATGCTGCAAGTGCTTTGCACCGTTTTGGGACCAAAGACTGAAGCTTCCATATTTTCAGGACTGGATTAGAACGCGCAATCCAGATACTAAGTCCCAACAAACAACTTTGAATCGCTTCAAACCGCCCTCCTTCAGGCAACTCCTGGATTGAGGGTCCCAGACAGGTAGATAGGTTGCCTGGAACGACGCTGTGTTCGCTGAATCCCCACCCTCATTTGGTTTGCCGCTTCGCCGCTTCGCGTTTCGAAGCTCCGGATTTTTTTCCGAGGCAAGCGCCTGGCGTGAAGCGGCCAGGCGGGGCGTCGGGCCTCGGCCCCAGGGCTTGGGAACAACAAGGTAGAAACAGCCATGCTCCCCTTACCAAAAAGGAAGCTGCTGCAGCATTCCGACATTGATTCAGAACCACAAGGGGAGCCATGGGAAGGTTTTATGGCCCTTGATGGTCCTTCATGTTCTCAAATAATTCGTTTCTATTATTCACAAGTCACTATTAGGCTGCAATGACTCCCCTTGTGCACTTCGGAATAAGTCAGATGATGGTTGGAATTAGAGGGTTCCGCTAAGTCGGATGAAGCCGCTGAAAGGGGAACTTCCTCTGATCAACCTGAAAAGGAGCTTGTTATATAGATTCAATGGTGGTCGCAGGCAGCGGTGTTCATCCTAAGGGTGTGTCCAGTTGGGGTGCTTCCTCCAAAGGGATTGGCTGGCTCCAATTGGCTACGTGTCATAACTACCAACCATGTGGAGAAGGTTTGACTTCGACATGTGGACAGGTGCATTTTGAACCCCGTGTAGGTCACAGAAGGCAGTTTTTTTCCTCCAGGCCGGCCCTAGTTGCTTTTTGCTATGAGAGGGGTTGAGACATGTTCACCACCTCTCATGTCGGACATGTGCGCCCATGAATGTATGAACCCCTAGTATGAACTCTTGGTTGTTTGATTGAATTGAGCACGCACCGTGGCAACACAGCTGAATTGAGAAGCATCCCTCCAAAACATTTCATCATGTCGGGTTTTCATAGTTGTCAACTGCATCTTGATGTCTTGACACGAGAAGAGGGAGAGAGTCGCTGCCAGCACTTGTTGCAGCCTGGCGTGCCTTTGTTGGTTGGACATTCTGGGCAGTTTCTTCCCTTTTCAGTCGAGCGCCAGCACACGCTGCCCCTTTTTGAACAGTCAACGATGCAGCTCTTTGCCCACTCGACTTGGACTCTTACATGGTTTCTGTTTTGGGAAGGGGGTTTCGGTTTCCTTTATTGGACACAGAGCCCAGTTGCCAGGAGAGGTGGCCGCAGCTGGCCTGCCGCCCAGCTGGCGAGCGCGATGTGCATCTGTTCGGGGGCTCCTAACTTGGGCAGGGGCTGAAAATTAAATTTACAAGTCAGTGGCAAGTCCAGTTGGACCCTCACTAAACTGCTCAGGTGCCCCTTGCTTCAGGCAAAGATGAGGTAGGGGAACCTAGGCACATTGGTACGCGTCAGGAATGGACACCTTCAAGCATGTTTGTTCCGTTCCAAATCGGCCCCTGAAAGGGGTTCCCGTTCTAACGGCCACTTTTTTGTTGGTTTGCTTGAAGCAATGCGTTGGAAGACCATTGGGATCAATGAGCCTTCGAAGAGTAACCACGAGTGCAAAGAGCGGATATTTGAATCGCTGGAAGGGAGCTGGACCTTTTACACGCTGCCCGACCTATTTCCCCCATGAAGGATCCGAGCAGGTCCCTGACAAGGTGGATTGTCTTTTGCCTTCCAAGTACCCTTTTTTGGGTTGCTTTAGAGGAAAGCCAAAGGGAAACTGGTCCCCATTTTGCGGGTTCCAAATTCCATGTCGAGAAGGTGAATGTTAGCACTCCACCCATTCATTCAGAGCATCAGTAAGCGAAAGTTATGCCTAGCTGCCTAAGTGGAGAATGGGCAAACAGGTGCAGCACCTGAGTCGTGACTTACCTGACGCAGGAGCCTTTCAATGCTCCGAGTGGTTTGGATGCTTCAAGTGCGGTTTTCATCAGTTCTTACACACATGCTGTGCTCAGCACCGTTGGGTTTCTTTTCCCCCTCAAACACGAACCACGCACGTGCGGGAGGGAACAGGTGGTCTGTCAAAGCGTGCAGATGCCACGGAAGCTAGGGGTGGAACAGGTGGGCGGATTGGACCCCCTGAACAGGGCTTTTCATGGTTCCATAGGCTGGATGGCGCTGTCTTGTGATGGGCACATGGAAAACTGACACGGACAATTCTCGGGTGGTCTCAGGGTTATCTTAGTCTCTTTCTTGGATGCTCCTCCCCAGACCTTTTGGGGCTCTTGTGAGTTGTGGAGTGAACCGAAATTCTAGTTCTTCCGGCCACATGTGGGAGGTGACACGGTGCCCAGGTGGGGTCATCAAGAAGCCAGCCTTGCCGGCAACCGTGGGGCTGGCAAGCTTGACCCGGAGCTGTGGCTTCTATGCTTGGATGACGTCCAATGCATGGGAAAAAGCCCGCATCAAATTCGCGAGAGGGGACCAATCACTTTCCAAATGGGCGTGGTCATCCAAGCAAGGCCAATCACCATGTCCAAGCCCCAGATTCCCCACTGGGATGGACTGTTCACCCGAAAGGAAACCCAACCTCGAATCCAGCTAGGGGTGCGCGATCCAAAATTTAGGGATTCCCAATAAAGGGAACCGATATGAAACCAACGAGTTTTTGGAGTTCCCAACATTTGGGCGCACAAAATCCAAGTCCAACCGCCAGCCAGGCAGTGGGGAAGGATGCCCCCAAGTTCAGCGTGCGTGGAGACCTGGAAGGGAGGGAATATGGATATCTTTTCTCTGGGAATGGACACATGGATTGGGAATTCTCTGGGGACTAACATTTGTTGGGGAGAGCTGCCTCTGGAGCTTAGCAGTGGGCTGAGGCCCCAAGCAGTCTAGAGACCAAGTTTTTGAACGGAAGCCCGAGCTATAGGCCATCTTTTGCCCCCAATCCCTCCGATTCAGCAAAGACATCTCCGTGTCGCACGCGTCAAATTTGACCAGTGTGTTGGACTGTAGGCATTCGCTTTGAAGGCCAGCCTGCGCATCTCAAAGGGTATCCCCGAGCATGCAGGAATTGTCTTCGGACATGTTTCGATATTTGCAACTCATATTCTGGGCAACATGCACTTTTGCAAACTGCAACCGTTTCTTTCTCGAGAAACTCCAGTTTTTGATACAGCAAGCCATTTCAATGTTACACTTACAGAAAAGTCGAAGCCAGTCGAAGTCATGCTCTTGTTCAAAAGGAATGCGTTAGCAAAGTAGCAGACATCAGGTTATGTGCGTGGATGTTTGGACCTTGCCCCCGCACACTGAGGGCATCGAGCCATGCTTGAGAAATTGCGCTCTACCGGTGGCACCTGCGCTTGATTCACCTGTAGCATATTTAGCTGCAAACTTCTGTTCACTTTGACCAAGCACACCTGTGTTCAAAATATGTACGGCATTCCAGCTTCATTATTTGTCATGTTTGGCATTTTTGCCATTGCAATGCAAGCTTACAATATTTCCGTCTTCCCTCATGTCTGTGATGAGGGCCCCTGAGACTGTGAATGCAGGAATTCTATACAGCTTGGTAGGTTCATGCTGTAGTCTTTGTGCTTCGGCAATCCTTCAGTTCTCAACAAACAGCGTATCCTAAGGGCCCGCAACAACAGCAGGGCGGTAATTTGGTGGGGGCTGCGGGAGAAGCCAAAAGAAGGGTTCAGCAATTTGAGAAACATATAAGGTCTACAAGCAATTCCATTTTTCCTGCCAGACAAGTTTCTTGTTCGGATATGAATAGTGGTCAATATCCCTGCAATATCCACTGTTATCTTAGTCTTCTCTAAACGCCATTTGGTACCTCACCAAATTACAGTGTCAGCCCGGGACACAATTAATGTGGACCACATTTTGTACGAATCAGCTTTGGGACAGAGGCTCGAGGGCCAAGGACTCGTTTAGTTATACTGTTTGCCAGGGACCCACTCAACAGGCAGTTCCTGCGTCATTTTGCTTCTGCTTTTTGTCCGTGTTGACCCGTATGTGCCAAAATGAGTTGAACGTCTTTTGGCAAGGCGGGAGCAAGGACACCCCTGCAGTTTTTGCAATCTATGAGTAGACATCACAATTCCCGTTCCCAGGACCAGCCAATCCAAGACAGATGACATTGGCATCCAGACCTTGGTGGGCGACTATGCGGACAAAGGCTCGGGCGCTAGTGTTGAACCCTCATTAGTCCCCCACACTTATTGCGCCCATTTTTGTCGGGATTCGTGATTCCTGTTCTTGAGGTGAACTGCCCGATTCCCAAGTTCGGTTGGTGATGACCAGATGTCAGCATTAGGTATATGTATTGCGCTCTTTCTCTCTCTCTCTCTATCTCTATCTATCTACCCGTTTTTTTCTCCGTATCTGTTTCTTTTTTTTTTTTTCTTTCTCTCTCTCTCTCTGTCTCTGTCACTCACTCACTCACTCACTCACTCACTCACTCACTCACTCACTCACTCACTCACTCACTCACTCACTCACTCACTCACTCACTCACTCACTCACTCACTCACTCACTCACTCACTCACTCACTCACTCACTCACTCTCTCTCTCTCTCTGTGTTCTCGAGGTCACTGGCCAGGGTCCTGCTTAAAATGGTCAACTTTCGATTTTGCTAAGTTCATAGAAAGATTCCTCAGCAGAGGCCATCTGGGCAAATTATACGCATGGGCAAAACGAGCTCATCTAGAAACTAAGCAATCTCACATTTTGGCAAGATCTCATTTCTTTTTGCTATGGGCTGCCTTGTGGACCATGGGCTTTTCGCTCGTTTTTTTTGTTGGCCTTGGCATAGGGGCAGCCGGGAGAGCCCTGTGGACGGGAAGGTTCGCTCCAGAAAGTCAAGGATCCGCTTGCGACCTCGTAGCCCGAAATTGTGGATGCACAAATGCGGATGCTTCTTTCAGGCCCAGGTTGGCAGCATGTTTTGGGAACCCCTGTTCAACAATCTCTGTTTGAAGCCTCCGGCTAGTTCCACAGATCTTCAGACGCCCCCAATGTACGAACGCATCCTCTGCTACTTCCGGTTTTGCAGTCTCTCTTGTTGTTGAAACTTCGTGGGGGCACGAGGGCCCAATGTAAATTAGGGCCTACTCACCCCTCTTTTTATGTATCGTTGAATTTTCATTCAGCCCCCAGCTGGAATTCGGTCCCTGCTTGTTGTTTTCTTTCATTGTGGGTGAGTCTCAAAATGGACATTCTCCAAGTCAATAGTTTCAACAGAGAAACCAAAAGGGGCCATGAAGGTTTATTTCCAAGGGTCCGTTCAGGCGTTCTTTTTCCATTTTTTTTTTTTTTGGGGGGGGGCAGAGCATCGCGCCTTGCTGTGGACCGTAGTTATGATCTTGGAAATATAGCGCGGGTCGTTTCTGTTTTTGTTTGTTATAATTTCTTGGACGCACAACCCACATGCTAGTTGGCTTTGATGTCTCATGATTTGCTGTTACCGGCTAGCAACAGGAGTGCAGCCATTACCCTGAATGTCAAATCCTCGAGACCGCCACGTTTCGCTGGCCAAAGCGTTTGCGCCGAAAAACACGATGAGCTTTGGCGAAAGCAGCTGTCTCAAGTCCGACAGGAACTCACCAAGTCCGCTCGACGGCATGGCTTGTGTCGCTAAATCATAGAAGGCCCGATTGCCTTTCTTGTCCACTTCTTTTGCAGCAACGTGATCGCATATTTTGGAGCCACTTGCTCGGATAGGTTGCTTCCAATGTCTCCAAGTCAGTTGTTGCTGGATGTTCTCCTTGATCTCGACCACTGTTTTGCAGAGTAAATGTTGATAGTTGATGTCTGAGCCGTTTGGGTCATCCGTGGTTGCTTTGCGAGAAACATTAACACAGACCATTGTTGAAGCTTGCGGTGCCCCAGCCAGTGTTGGACATTTGTGCAAGACTTTCCACAATCTGGTAGAGGGATTTGTAAGGCCTATATCAGCCTGTACGACCATATTGGTAGCAGACACTGGATGGATTTTGGGCGCACAAGCTGGTCCACTCGATTGGCGTGTGCATTGAATCCGCAGGCGCCAACCACGGGAAGAGGCGCGCCATTGGGCACAAAGCGGACGGTTCTTTGGAGGCCACGAAGGAGCTTGCCAAAGCCATGATTCAATTACAGCATTGGCCTGGGGCCCTAACTAACACGGGGTGCAAGTCAAGGGGCTAGATGAGGGGCTGTTTTAGGGTGTATGGTCCTGGAGAAGAACAGAATCTTTCATCGACTTTTTGTTTCTTCTTTTGTATTTTAACGCCTCCGGCTCAGGCCGCCGACATTACAGGCCTGCTTTCTTATTTGCGTCCCTTTGGAATTGTCCCCTTGCCCCCTTCCCCTCTGAGATTTTTGCCCCCCTTTCTTTGTTGAGATCCATTCCCCCTTTCCGCCCTAAGGCCTTTTCTCCCTCTGTTTTTTTCCCTTTTCCTCCCTAAGATGTTTTCACCCCTCTCCCTGTTGAGATCCTTTCCCCCCTTTCCCCCCTAAGGCCTTTTCCCCCCTGAGATCTTCTCCCTTTTCCTCCCTTTCCCCCACTTTCCCCCCTACGGCCTTTTCCTCCCTGGGATCTTTTTCCTTTCCTCCCTGAGATCTTTCCCCCCCTTTCCCTGTTGAGATCCTTTCCCCCCTTTCCCCCCTACGGCCTTTCCCCCCGCTGAGATCTTCTCCCTATTCCTCCTTAAGATCCTTTGCCCCCTTTCCCTGTTGAGATCCTTTCCCCCCTTCCCTTTAAGGCCTTTCCAGATCTTCTCCCTTTTCCTTCCTAAGATTGTTTCCCCCCTTTCCCTGTTGAGATCCTTCCCACCCTTTCCCCCCTCAGGCCTTTCCCCCCCCTGAGAGCTTCTCCCTTTTCCTTCCTTAGATCTTTCCCCCCTTTCCCTGTTGGCCTTTTTTCCCCCAGATCTTCTCCCTTTCCTCCCTAAGATCTTTTCCACCCCTTTCCCTGTTGAGATCATTTCTCCCCTTTCCCCCCTACGGCCTTTGCCCCCAGATCTTCTCCCTTTCCTCCCTAAGATCTTTCCCCCCCTTTCCCTGCTCAGATCCTTTCCCCCCTTTCCCCCCTAAGGCCTTTCCCCCCCTGACATCTTCTCCCTTTTCCTCCCTAAGATCTTTTGCCACCTTTCCCTGTTGAGATCCATTCCCCCTTTCCCCCCTAAGGCCCTTTCTCCCTCTGAGTTTTTCCCTTTTCCTCCCTACGATGTTTTCCCCCCTCTCCCTGTTGAGATCCTTTCCCTCCTTTCCCCCCTAAGGCCTTTTTTCCCCCCGCGATCTTCCCCCTTTTCCTTCCTAAGATCTTTTCCCCCCTTTCCTTGTTGAGATCCTTTCCCGCCCTTTCCCCCCTAAGGCGTTTTCCCCCCCAAGATCTTCTCCCTTTTCCTTTCTAAGATCCTTTGCCCCCTTTCCCTGTTGAGGTCCTTTCCCCTCTTTCCCCCCTAAGGCCTTTCCACCCCTGAGATCTTCTCCCTTGTCCTCCCCAAGATCTTTTCCCTTGGTTGAGATCCTTTCCCCCTTTCCCCCCAAGATCTTCTCCCTTTTCCTCCCTAGGATCCTCTCCCACCTTTCCCTGTTGAGCTCCTTTCCCCCTTTTCCCCCTAAGGCCTTTTCAGATCTTCTCCCTTTTCCTCCCGAAGATCCTTTGCCCCCTTTCCCTGTTGAGATCCTTTCCCCCTTTCCCCCCTAAGGCCTTTTCCCTGCCTGGGATCTTCTCCCTTTCCTCACTGAGATCTTTCCCCCCCTTTCCCTGTTGAGATCCTTTCCCTCCTTTCCTTCCTAAGGCCTTTCCCCCCGCTGAGATCTTCTCCCTACTCCTCCTTAAGATCCTTTGCCTCCTTTCCCCGTTGAGATCCTTTCCCTTCTTCCCTTTAAGGCCTTTCCAGATCTTTTCCCTTTTCCTTCCTAAGATTGTTTCCCCCCTGTCCCTGTTGAGATCCTTCCCACCCTTTCCCCCCTCAGGCCTTTCCCCCCCCTGAGAGCTTCTCCCTTTTCCTTCCTTAGATCTTTCCCCCCTTTCCCTGTTGGCCTTTTTTCCCCCAGATCTTCTCCCTTTCCTCCCTAAGATCTTTTCCACCCCTTTCCCTGTTGAGATCATTTCTCCCCTTTCCCCCCTAAGGCCTTTGTCCCCAGATCTTCTCCCTTTCCTCCCTAAGATCTTCCCCCCCCCTTTCCCTGCTGAGATCCTTTTCCCCCTTTCCCCCCTAAGGCCTTTCCCCCCCTGAGAGCTTCTCCCTTTTCCTTCCGAAGATCTTTTCCCCCCTTTCCCTGTTAGGCTTTCCCCCCTAAGTCCTTTTCTCCCAGATCGTCTCCCTTTCCTCCCTAAGATCTTCCCCCCCCTTTCCTCCTTAAGATCTTTCCCACCCTTTCCCTGTTGAGATCCTTTCCCCCCTTTCCCTCCCAAGGCCTTTCCCCCCCCTGAGAGCTTCTCCCTTTTCCTTCCTAAGATCTTTTCCCCCCTTTCCCTGTTGGGCTTTCCCCCCTAAGTCCTTTTCTCCCAGATCTTCTCCCTTTCCTCCCTAAGATCTTCCCCCCCCTTTCCTTCCTAAGATTGTTTCCCCCTTTCCCTGTTGAGATCCTTCCCACCCTTTCCCCCTGAGGCCTTTCCCCCCTGAGAGCTTCTCCTTCCTTAGATCTTTCCCCCCTGTCCCTGTTGGCCTTTTTTCCCCCAGATCTTCTCCCTTTCCTCCCTAAGATCTTTTCCACCCCTTTCCCTGTTGAGATCATTTCTCCCCTTTCCCCCCTAAGGCCTTTGCCCCCAGATCTTCTCCCTTTCCTCCCTAAGATCTTTCCCCCCCTTTCCCTGCTCAGATCCTTTCCCCCCTTTCCCCCCTAAGGCCTTTCCCCCCCTGAGATCTTCTCCCTTTTCCTCCCTAAGATCTTTTGCCATTTTTCCCTGTTGAGGTCCATTCCCCCTTTCCCCCCTAAGGCCCTTTCTCCCTCTGAGTTTTTCCCTTTTCCTCCCTACGATGTTTTCCCCCCTCTCCCTGTTGAGATCCTTTCCCTCCTTTTTCCCTAAGGCCTTTTTTCCCCCCGCGATCTTCCCCCTTTTCCTTCCTAAGATCTTTTCCCCCCTTTCCTTGTTGAGATCCTTTCCCGCCCTTTCCCCCCTAAGGCGTTTTCCCCCCCAAGATCTTCTCCCTTTTCCTCCCTAAGATCCTTTGCCCCCTTTCCCTGTTGAGATCCTTTCCCCCCTTTCCCCCCTAAGGCCTTTCCCCCCCTGAGATCTTTTTTCTTTGTTCTCCCCAAGATCTTTTCCCTTGGTTGAGATCCTTTCCCCCTTTCCCCCTGAGATCTTCTCCCTTTTCCTCCCTAGGATCTTCTCCCACCTTTCGCTGTTGAGCTCCTTTCCCCCTTTTCCTCCCTAAGATCCTTTGCCCCCTTTCCCTGTTGAGATCATTTCTCCCCTTTCCCCCCTACGGCCTTTGCCCCCAGATCTTCTCCTCCCTAAGATCTTTCCCCCCCTTTCCCTGCTCAGATCCTTTCCCCCCTTTCCCCCCTAAGGCCTTTCCCCCCCTGAGATCGTCTCCCTTTTCCTCCCTAAGATTTTTTGCCACCTTTTCCTCCCAAAGATCTTTTCCCCCCTTTCCCCCTTAAGGCATTTTTTCCCCAGATCTTCTCCCTTTCCTCCCTGAGATCTTTCCCCCCCTTTCGCTGTTCAGCCTTTCCCCCTTTCCCCCCTTCATTTCCTTCACCAGCATGGGCAACATCCCCAGCATCACTTGCATCATCCGCATCCTTGGCAGGCGCTGATGCGGATGATGCAGGTGATGCTGGCGATGTGCCGCTGGAGCTGCTAAGGATGCGAAAGCGCACCCGGGGGGAATCGAACACCCCAATGTTTTTGACAAACTGAGTTGCGCAAACCCGCACAATGAACAGATTTAGTGAAGCGTCTTCGAATCACCGCGTGGTACGTGGACCCCCCCCCCGGCAAGAGTCTGAAATGGTGCCGGTGGGGAAGGGTTAGGGGAGGGGTAACAGGTAAAGAGGTAAGGAGCATTTTTTGTGTCCAACACGCCGTCTGTTGTCGGCGGATTTTCAATTCGGTTGGTTGGGATTGAAGGGACAAGATCACTGGTGGACACCTGTTGTTGGCCATCCTAATAGAGGAATCTTCGTTTGGTTTGGATAGGTTAAGGGTTCCATCCTAGATGAGGATGGCAAGCCCCAACGCCCTTTGTGAATTCTACAAGATGACACAATTTTTGGGTTTAGCGTTTTCATGCAACAGAAATTGTGCAATTCCTTTCACCCTGTGGCACGGGCAGATTTGACGTTCATTCAATGAAGAGCGAGTTCGTGACTTGGGCCCGTGCTTGTAGCTGAAGCTTTCGGCGTGTCTCAAAAATGGTAGAGTTCCTCTTGCCCTTCAGAAACCATCCCATAGAGGGGGGCTCCAATTTGAGGCACAGCGCGTGATTGCCAATGGTTGCCAGGGATTCGAGTGGTAGGCGACGTGGGAAATTTGCTTGATGCTGGAGCTCCAGTTAAGTCTTCAAGAACATATTTCCTAAAAGAGGGGACGCCTTCCCGCAAATGGCTGATTTCCTCTTGGGCTTCCTTCCTCATATCGGTACCACAACATGTTTACGGGGTGCATTGATGGCAGCCGGGCGGGGAACCTCCGACCTGAACCTGAGCTAAGTGCGCGTGCCAAGGTGTTTGCCCGGTGCCGATGGAATATCTGGCAATGTATATATATATATATATATATATATATGTATATTTATAGATATGTGTATATACGGCCAAATATGTGTATATACAACCAATTCTTGGGGTTTGTTCGCCACAGACCCCCACCGCCTCGGGCAGCGCAGCCGCAACTGGTTTGTCTTGTCAACCCTCAACCCCGAACCATAAACCGTAAAGCCATAGGCCCAAAAACATAAACCCCGAACCCCTAAACCCTAAAGCCATGAACAACTCATGAACCCTAAGACAGCACACCAATCAATGGTCTCACATGTATAAGACAAAAGATACATGACACTTTGCTTCAACGCCTGGGCAAACCCCGGGCGTTGCGTATATATATATATATGTACGTACATATGCGACTCCCCTCATGGACCAAGATGCTGGTGCCTTTTTGTGAGGATGGCCTTTGCGGATGAAATAATTTAGACAGGTTTCAAATTAATTTCCAGCTCAAATTGGAAAGGAGTTCCTATTCGAACAGCCAGAAGATTACATTTTTGACTACACATGTAGCAAGCAAAGTACACTTTGGTAGCTCCAGCTCAAAAATGCAACTTTCCAGCACGAGAGTAGTGCCGCAAATACACTTTGGCAGCTTGAACGTGATTGCTACGACTGCTCGCTGAGTTGTTTGGGCTTTGCAGGGAAGCTCAGCAGACCATCGATTTGCGGGAAAGCACTTCATTCCTATTGAAACGGCTACTTGCAAAGCAATTCCCATCAACATCTAGGTGGTGCTTATCTGATTCGTTTTAATCGTTGTCAGTATCATCTATTGAACAAACTTATCCACATCTAAAATGTTTGATTCGAGTGCAAGTCAATATCAACTTGAATAGTCGATTGCAGTTCATTGTGCATTCCGAATGAACAGCAATCGGAGAACACATAACTGGACATTGCCGGTTGAAGCTGGACTCTGATTCGATTCCCATTCTTTTTCTTATTCATCCACTTCCATGTAGTTCTGACCAAGCAAGATCTGAGCAAGCCAGTAACAGAAACGTGTGTTGTTTCAATATGGATCTGCTTCTGGCTCAAAATGCGGGAACACAAATTGTTTTTCAGCATTTGCTCAGATCATGTCCCCCCGCATCGACGACATTTGTAAGAGAAGGCTTGCTTTTGTCGACCGTTTGTTCTCCCCACAATGTGGAACACACTTTCCATAATAGAGGGCCACAAAACGACCCCTTTAGCAGTTCCCTGACTCAACTTCAAGATTTCCTCAGAAAACTGTCTACACCAAGAAATGCAACATGTACATTTTTTAGCAGGACAACCTTGCTATTGGGGGCAAAACATCCTACTATATCCATGTATAAATATGTGTGCGCAGGTGTAACCATCATTGCGGCTGTTCTATTCAAGTAGTTTCTGTTGTTTTTGTTGGGCTTCTTTGTGCCCCTTTCCCCATGTCGGGGGTGGCCCGCAGGTTTTACCAGAAGATCCAGAAGATTCCGGGGCACGAGGAGATCAAGGCAGGAGCCATGAAGGCTCCGGTCCGCGCAGCAAGAACAAAGCATACCACGCGCTTTTTCACTTCCTTGAGCCGGGCCCTGATATTTCCCTTTCCCGTGGATTTTTGCATTTCCTTTAAAACCCTTGTTAGGCGCACTTCAAGTGAGTTTCCTTCAAGCTTCCGCCGTTTGCGACAGCTATGGATCCTTTGCCGAGTTGAAGGCCACTTCTCGGACGAGGCATCAACATGTTCAGCCACTCTCGGCAAGTCAACAGAGGAAGCGAGGGTGTGCCATGGACAGGAGACTCTTCTGTCAGCCTCATTCCCATGCCACTCGTTGACCCAATGGGCAGAAGGGACTTTAGCAGCATGGCATAAGTCCAGCGTTAGATGCCCAAGCAGACAGAGCGCAAGGGGTGTTGACATTCTTTGCAAGGTGCGTTTGCCGCAGTTCTTTGTCGGGCGCGCTCCTTTGTCAGGGTCCAAATTTGAACACTTGTGAGAGGGTCGTTGGAGCATCCTTGCAATACGGAGCTGGCTTCCAGGGTGATCTGTCTCGATTGCTGCATAGAGTGATGTGCGTTTATGTAACTGCTTTGGGGCAACGGAGCAAGACGCGGATACAGCCTGGTAGCGTAAAGACAGAGCAGATCACCAAGAATACCAAGGATGGCTCAGACCGGGCCTACGCTTTAAGCATTCCGCAATGTTTGTGACAGCTTTATGGACGCTTTGCTGCGTTGAAGGCCACTTCACGGACGAGGCATCAACATGGTTACCCACTATTGGCAAGTCAATGCATCAAGCGAGACTTCGCCATGGTTCGAACCCATTGGAGACACTTCTGTCTCAATTGGACACACTTGCTCACGTCCTAAGCCCTAGACACTAATTTCCGATGTCGTGGCCCAGTGAGCGGGAAAACGAGGCGTTGCGGCATTTGTTTTTTATTGTTGTGCGTTGCAACAAGCTGTGGCCAAGTGGGAATGGAGACCATAGGAGTCCACCTTGTTAGATGGTTGGTCTTGGTTCCGATTCCGTTTGACACAGAATATGAGGTTTGTTCAAGAATACCAGCCTATTGTAAGTTTGAGGGACGCAGGGGCACTCACTCATCACCTGTCCTTCAGGAACGAGGGCTAACTGGGTAAGCCGCTTCAAGCCGCTTATGCACTGGTCCTCATTGAGAGTCGCGCACGACCTTTGTGCCCATACTGCTTTGCGCTTTGAACGCCAGGTCTTCCTCTACTTTTGGGACAATCGAGACGCTTGTCTGCACCTTCTTGTTCGCCGCGCTCGGCGTGCCTGGGACCCCCTATGTTTTGTTGTTGTTGCTTGATTTGGACATCACATGGGAAAGAAAGGCAGCCTGGTCTAGGTGGGATGATGTTTATGAAGGAAATCGGGAGCCCGGTGTAGCCACGAGGGGAAAAAGAAACCGTGCGCCCCGCGCATGCTATCCCGCTTCGTGTTGAAGCCATGCGCCAGTGCTACGCCGCCCAAGGCAATCCATCAAGAGTTCCCGCAGCATGCCCTGGAGGTTTGATTGTTCCGTCTCGTGCTGGCTATCTGATGGGTAAGTGACTGATACACCAACTTGCAAACTGGCAAGCTGGCAAACTGACTCATCACCTGACAAGCAAACTAGCTGACTAGTCAACCGATTGACTGGCTGATGAATCAAGTAACCAGCTCTCACGAACTCACTTTCCAGCTTACTAAATAAATCTCAAATTTATGTCTTCATTGGTCAACTCACTTTCTCATGAGGCAAACAAATGAGCAGCTTATTGTCGAATTAGCTACCCAAACAGCTCACAGCCAACCTAGCAAAAATGAAGTTTTAATAAGCACATAACGAACGAACGCCCGAACCAAATAGTTGGCTCGCCAATCAGCTCGAAACTACAGTACCTCTTTTGGCATCGCCAGCGGCATTTCATCGGGCGCGCGATTTGAGGATGGGGCTGACTTCAGCGGCTGGTGGTTCGGAGATCAGGTGGGCGGCACGCAGGCGCGAAAACGGCCCCTTTGGCCGTGCTGAGCGGCATTTGTAGCACGCGTTTCTTTGAAGCTTGCAGGTTTCATAGCCACAACCACCAAGGGAAAACAGGACGATTCAGCACTTTCCAGCACAACAAAGGCGGCACACAACTAGCACGTCCTTTGGACAATGTAGTTTGGGAGCGTCGTTGTTCAGAATGCATTATCATTTGTCTATCTACCAAAGAAGATGACCTGGCTGACCTGGAGACTTCAACCAAATGAGCAGTTCCAACTTCTCCTAATCAGGTGTACAAACTGAATCTTGACCTGGGCTCTTGAGATGTTGAGGCCTACAATTTGGTGTAGTGTTTTCAAGCCTCTCACGCTGACCCTATGAAGTTTGGGGAATGCCACATATTGGGCAACTTGCGGCAAATTCCTCCCAGACATTGCAGTCCTGGCTGCTTGTTGGTTTTACCTGCAGCCCTTTTACCCTCTAATCCTTTGGCCCGCTGAGCCTCTCACCCATTTCGGGGCCCTTTGGCCCTTTAGTCTCAGCTATTCTTGCCAGCTCCGGACGCATGCAAATCGCCTTTTGCGGGGTCAAGACTACGAAGCTGGATGTGAGAGAAGTCTCAGTTCTGAGCGCTGAATTGATCGATTCAAATATTTGATTTGTCCGAAACGCATCATGTTGACCCTTTCTTCAGACGGGGCGTTGGAAATCAGACTTTCCAACACAATCCTTCAAGAAGACAGAGCATTGTTCCATTTGCTTCGGACGCATTGCATTGCTACCCTGCTTGGCATTGCTCGCTGACAGGCACGCATGACCTGTTTCAATCCACCCTCAAAATTATTAAGCCTAGAACAGTCTTGAAGGGTTTCTTTTGAGAGATGGCAATCCCGAGGGGGGGCTTGAAGGACAGCATTTTTTTGAGTTGAACCCCACGAAAACCGTGTTGATTTGGAATGACGAGCGGTGTTAGGACTCCAATTCGGTGGAGGAGCGGCAAACAACAAGACCAGCAATGGCGATTAGAGAGGGCTCGCGACAACCTTTTTGCGGATGATATTGAGAGGGTTTAGAGTGCCCCTGAGAGAAGAACGAGAAGACACCCTGCAATTCGGTCTCGAATGCGCTTCAATGTCGCCTCAAAGCCTGTTCCCAACTTGGTTCCCAGTCAAAGCCTTGAGGCATCTTTTTCGAGGATGTCCTGCAAGATAGCACAAGGACAATTGTTATCTCTCAAGACTGGAGAGTCCCTCCAATTTCGCGGTGGTTGCAGTCCTCCGCCCGTTTGTCAGGTGTGGGCGCGCAACCCCTCGCAGTTGCCCATCCCGCCGCGCACGGGGTACCCCATGGCATGTCGGGGAGGGGGTCCAGTTGCGTTTCGTTGGGGGTCGCTGCTTTGGACACGGCCTTGTGTCAACAAACAAACCTTTTGGACCGTGACATCAGTTGTGATTGGTTGGATGACTGAGCTACATGTTTTCGTCTACACAGACACTTGTTTGGACAAGTTTTGAGGAACTCGTGGACACAATCGGTGTATTGTCTGGTGATCTCAGCCAGCGGGTCAGGGGTCTTGTTGCTTGCCCGGTTGTGTTCAGCCGTCATGACTCGAGGAGAGCCGCGCCTTGGGAAGGTTCGCATGGCGAGTGCGGAGGGCCGATTCATCTGCGAGATGGTGGGATTGTTCAAATAGTGCTCAGAAGTTGCTACCTTGAGTTTGTCTAAAACCTTTTAATTGTAGCTGGCTCGGAAGATGTACGTTGTCCTGAGCAGCATGTGTTTCCTTGGAGCGCGTGTAACCGACTTTGTTGGACCTGCGGGCTCCTGTGGGCTGCGTAGCGAGTAAGCAAGCTAGGCCGGTTCTTCAGCTGCCCCAACTTGCAGTCGAATTTGTTCCGTGGGCTTGTTGCGGACCCTTCGATGGCATGAACCTCGGGTTGTTTGCCTCGGACATGAATGCCCTGTTGCAGAACCGGAGTCAGCTTGCGGGGTTCGCCATGTTCACCCCTGACTCCATTAGCTTGATTTGGGAATCCGTTTGTGACGACCGCCAGATTTGTGTTTGGAGCTGTTGAAGTTTCACTGACACAGGAACAAATCAGGAGGAAGCACTGCCACGGCTTGATGAGCTAGGTTGATGCAGTTGCGTGCAAGTGTTAGTGATGGCATTGGCTAAAGGGCCAAGTTCAGATGATGAATTGGGAATGTGTTTACAACAACACGGTCACAACAGACAGTTTGATGTTGTAGCTTTGCTTATTGGCACCTCAGGCAACTGGAAGACATGGATTGCTCCTTGAATGATTCTTCTTTTACAAGAACTCCGGTATGTTTTAAAGAACTCATATCAATCTTTTGGGCGTGAGGCAAGGGAACCATGGCATCGACCCTCGCGAGAAGTTTCGCCATTGCACACAGGTTGAACTTAGATGTACTCGTTTGATCAACTGGCACTGGCACGTTCCCGGCGCACGAAACCTTTTGCACAAGAAGAATCAAAGGAGCTGAGGCGGGTCACATCTAGCTCCAGGATGTTTCAACACTGTCCTCTTAACCTCAGCTCTGTTGATTCAGGGTGCTTCAACGCCGCGTTGCTGATCTACATGCTGGGACAATTACAGAGCACAAGGGCAAACACATCTGACATCTCCGCCTCTCCTCTCCTGCCAACATCTGATCGTGAAACCTGACGCCAACCTATTCAGCGTTTGGTTCTATGGCGCTCAAGGTGCCAAGTGGCTTGTTGGTTGCGGAGGGAGGTTGACTTGCTCTCAGAGTTGCTCCAAGCATGCTTTTCGGCAGGTCCATGCAGCACTTTTTCTCCCCTACAGCTTTTCTCCCAAGGCAGTCAACCTCCCAAAGCACGCCGGCCACAGCAGCAGCCCCTTTGCGTGTTGTTACTGTTGTGGGGCATTCAACAGGCAGCGCTGACTTCTCGAAATTGACCTCACTTCTGAGAAGAATAGAGTGAACCCCTTGTAAAGGGTTTCAACACTTTAGAGTATCCCCTGACTATCACCCAAATTTGAATGGTTGAAAGGCAAGCATAGAATCCAAGCGACTGAACTTTACAGGTTTACCGGCAGTCGTTCCTCAGTTCTGTTTCGCCGGCCGTCGCTTCTTCGAGGTGTGCAGCATCGGTTTTGCTGATGCATCTGCAAAAACTGCTGCAAATGGCAAATCATCTGGCACATCATTTGGCAAGTATCTGGCAAATCATCTGGCAATCATCTGGCAATCATCTGGCAAGTATCTGGCAAATCATCTGTCAAACATCTGCTAATGCTAATGCATCTGGCAATTCATTTGGTCACACATCTGGAAGTGCATTTCTGCCTGCTGAGATGCTTGCAAATGCGCATAAGTCAATTGATCTTGGCCAGTACGGTTTATGTGGCCAGGACTGATTCACGTTTTGATTCTTGATTGAAACTGGTTCTGGGTCAGTCGTATTTCACAGATGTTGCTTGAATTCCCCCTTCCACCCCTTTGGCATCTCTAAACGAGAAGTCGGAGCCGTTTTGCAAGAGCCGCAGTGAAGGCACCGCTCACCTAAGGCCCAAATGGCTCCAATCCACTTGATATGGAAACTTTTGGTCACCTCCAACGGCCAGGATGTCAGGATGGGGACAATTCAGGATTCCGATTCCGAACTCCAACGGGCCTTCACAGAGGGCCGGCTGGGGAAACTGCAAACTCAGGAATTGCTTTGGGAGGGTTATCAGTTCGTTTGAAACGAGGTGTGTTGCTCTTCTTAGATGATTTGAGGATGTGTGACACCCGGTAAACTTGACTCCCTGTTCTTGCAAACTTGACTGAGGATGAGGATACTCTACGACGGTTGCGCAAATGCACGATGAATTGCGTGGCAGGTGGAAAGTTCCTTGGGACAGCGCTACAGCAAAGCCAGTAGCATCCTTAACGCAGATGGGCGTGGCAGTCAGGTCGGCCAGGTTTTCGCATGTGCAGTGTTGGAAGAAGTTGGGTATGCCTCAAAGCGGGATTCACCGTGTTTTTTTCGCCACATAATGGGAGCCTGGGTGACTTTGGCGCAACCCTAGCTATTTTGTGCCAGTATCACTGTCCAAGGAGGCCACTGTGCTCAGAGGGTGCGTGATTCTGGGCAAGGGTGCTTGCCACAATGATCTGGCCTCTCAACCTGTTATCTTGCACGTCGAAAGGAATGCTCATTTTCACAAGTTTTGGTTGCAGCACCCTCGCCCATGCGTTGTTCAGCATGCACGCCATGATGCTTTGGCCTTTTGTGTTTCTAGACGGGAAGGGCAAGGCTGCTTGTCATCTCGTGCCGCACTGTCCTGGCCACGCTGCATCATCCCGTCCGCTTATTCTTTAGCAGCTTTTGTAAGATACGTATGTTTGAGAACCTGTTGTGCGAACTTTGTGCTTTCTGTTTTGTTTCAGCGCCTGTTTTGTCCGTTGTCATTGTCTCGCATCGCCACACTTTGAGTTTCTGCGGTACTTTGTCTTGCGTTCGTGGCTTCCGCTTGTTTCGGCTGAAAGCCAATGAAGCCAGGCTGCCAACAGCTGTTTGGCTACTGAGAACAGTCTGGCTTAGTGTGGCGGGCTTTCTGAGGAACGTAAATTGATTCCAACGGCTACAAAGGCTGCGTCCGCCAGTCAGAAAGTCAAACTAGGCCGAGCCAAATTCGGGCTTTATCTCGTTTTCCACTCGGACCCTTTCCCGACCTTCAAATTTCGGCAGCAGTACTTTTGCACAACAGTTCCATGCATGTTGGGGTTGCCAAACATTTTAGAATTTGCGCCTTGGATTTTGTCGGCCTGCCTTGAAGGGGTCTTCAACGGTCTCTGATTTTGACAACCATCCACGGTGACCGTACCTTTGCTTCTCAGCCGTGCCGCCGCTTCGCCTGCGCAGTCCAATGTTTCCGGGTAACTGTGCGTGTAGCCCGCGAACACCTAGCTTCATGGCAAAGCTCACAATTGGCGAGTCCTCCCGTATCAGAATTGGTCGTTTGCCCTGTTGCATGGGCGGCCCTTTGGACTACCTCACTATGTTCCTTTGAACAAAGGACCAAACCTGCGAGAATCTGTGTGGCCATGTGGAAAGAACCAGTGTGAACTTCGGCTGTCCGTTCTTGCGTATCTCACTGGCCTTTAGCGCTGTGCTCGGTCACCTTGCCCGGTGATTGCTTCACGTCGGGCAGGTCTTCAATGCACTCCTCGCAGGTTCAATGCACACTGCGTCCCATGCCTGATGCACCAATGGGGCTCGCGGCCAACCAATGACACAGACACACACACACACACATACTCTTGCTTGTCTGCATACTGAATGTTGATAGCTGCTTTGAAACTTAGCAGCACACCAAAGATATCATTGTAATTACTTGTTGCCATCACCATTTGTGTAGATGCCCACAGGTTGAAGAGAACCAAGCCGAGGCAGGAGAATCGTGTTCCTCACTTCAAGCGGCTTGTTTTGATCATCGGTGGCCCATCAGGGAGAAACATCGCCTTCCCAGGTCAACCAAATCCTGTCTTGCGCATTCACAGCTCTCACTCCACAGTGGCCGGGGGGAAGCGGCGCGGAAACCAACAACCAGTGGCTTTTAGGGGTCCCGCATGCCCAAATCAGAGCTGTCATCCGGCACAAGAGCACCAACCCATCGCCACCCGCTCCTGAGGGCCTCCTCTTCGTTGACCCCTTCAAGGCGTCGGTGGGTTCAGGAATGAACGGGCCAATCCATTTCACATAAACAGATTTCCAACGCCGCCGCCAACTGATGTGTTCCTCCAACCATTCCTTTCATCCAACATGCTTTTCAAGAGGCACCAGCCCTCGTTTCCGCAACGGACCCCTGGAAAGAATTGACGTAGTGGAACCAGGGATGTTCTGGGGCGGCCACATGTTGCACAATTCCGCCTGGAACTTGGAAGGCAACTGAGTAGCCTAACCTCTTCACGGTTTTCCCTGTTCTCTGATCATTCCACTTATATCAATTGTTGCTGGTTACACGTTTATATATTGATAAATATGCCAAGAAGGTTTGTTCCCGCTGGTGCAAGGCACATTTTGTACTGAGCTGTATCAGTTCTTCAGTCCGTTCCTGTATTTGGAAACCGTCGGGTGCTATCAAGGTATGTGTAGTTTGCTTGGCCTGTAGGATAGTTTCCGGAACTGTTGTTGTTGTTGTTGTTGTTGTTGTTGTTGTTGTTGTTGTTGTTGTTGTTGTTGTTGTTGTTGCTGCTGTTGCTGTTGCTGTTGCTGTTGCTGTTGCTGTTGCTGTTGCTGTTGCTGTTGCTGTTGTTGCTGTTGTTGCTGTTGTTGCTGTTGTTGGTGGTGGTGGTGGTGGCGGTGGCGGCGGTGGTGGTGGTGTTGGTGTTGGTGTTGGTGTTGGTGTGGTTGTGGTTGTGGTTGTGGTTGTGGTGGTGGTGGTTGTGGTTGTGGTTGTGGTTGTGGGTGTGGTCGTGGTCGTGGTCGTGGTCGTTGTCGTTGTCGGGTCCTGGTCGTGGTCGTTCTCGTGGTCGTCGCTGTCGCGGTCACTGTCGCTGTCGCTGTCGTTGTGGTTGTGGTTGTGGTTGTGGTTGTCGTTGTGGTTGTGGTTGTGGTTGTCGTTGTCGTTGTCGTTGTCGCTGTCGTTGTCGTTGTCGTTGTTGTTGTCGTTGTCGTTGTGGTGGTGGTGGTGGTGGTGGTGGTGGTGGTTGTGCTTGTGGTTGTGGTTGTGGTTGTGGTTGTGGTTGTGGTTGTGGTTGTGGTTGTTGTTGTTGTTGTTGTTGTTGTTGTTGTTGTTGTTGTTGTTGTTGTTGTTGTTGTTGTTGTTGTTGTTGTTGTTGTTGTTGTTGTTGTTGTTGTTGCCGTTGCCGTTGCCGTTGCCGTTGATGTTGTCGTTGTCGTGGTCGTGGTCGTGGTGGTGGTGGTGGTGGTTGTGGTTGTGGTTGTGGTTGTGGTTGTTGTTGTTGTTGTTGTTGTTGTTGTTGTTGTTGTTGTTGCTCCCATTCGTGCCATTTGCCGCCGTGGAAGGTTTGCTATTTTTTGAAAGCACACCCGCTCACGCGCACCCGCTCAGCACTGCACACATGCCAGGCAAATGGCATGAAAGCACACCCGTTCACGCGCACCCGCTCAGCACTGCACACATGCCTGCCAAATGGTCAGAACACCCGCTCACGCGCACCCGCTCAGCACTGCACACATGCCTGCCAAATGGTAAGAACACCCGCTCACGCGCACCCGCTCAGCACTGCACACATGCCTGCCAAATGGTAAGAACACCCGCTCACGCGCACCCGCTCAGCACTGCACACATGCCAGGCAAATGGTAAGAACACCCGTTCGCGAGCACCCGCGCAGCACTGCACACATGCCAGGCAAATGGTATGAAAGCACATGCACACATGCCTGCCAAATGGTAAGAACACCCGCTCAAAGAGCGCTTTTAGCCATAACCCTTCTCAAAAACCGGACTTTTTGAAAAAAGAAAAAGATTGACAGTTCTGCGTTTTGGAAACAAGGGCCTTGGAAAACGCGCCGCCTTCCACGGCGGCGAAAGACGCGGATGCCTTGTTGTTGTTGTTGTTGTTGTTGTTGTTGTTGTTGGCGTAGTCGTAATCGTAGTCGTAGTCGTACTCGTAGAAGTAGTAGTAGACCTTTGCAGGCACATTGCGAACTGTTGTCAGTTAGGCCCAATGCATCAACAAGCTGACTCATACCAATATGGGTTTGCGTTATTAGGAGCCGTTCCAAAAAGTTGGTTCCCTTCAAGACCATCTCAAAGAAAGTAGTTCCTGGTTTTCACACACAGCCGTATGGCTATTTATGCTAAGTTGCGGCGAAGTAAGCAGCATCCCCCCGAACAACCATTGCATTCTGCTTCCTCTGTGGCCCATTTGCTGAGGGCTCGCCCATATGTGCATCGGTCAACACCTCGATTTCACATGATGCTGAGGGATGGTCAGCCAGCCCTTGATGATGCTCAGACACCGTCAGGGTTTTCCTTGAGGACTAGTATTGTGAACCACTTGGAGATTTGACGATTGCACATCTGATCCAAAGCAAAGACTGCCAAATGGACCGTGTTCTTGTTGCTTTGCACTGCATCAGCTGGGGCTGCCCATTTTGAATCATACTCGTTGCCATGGTCAAAGCGCCTTGTGTGGGATTGATGGACGCGATGGTCAAAGCCCTTTGTGAGGATTCTAGACAACACATATTGGCGGACAATGGCCCACGCTTCGCCTTTCGCCTTTGCCCCTCTTGATTTGATTACGACCAAGCCAAGGTGCACACCCGTAGGACTCCATCTAATGGTTCCTGATTCAGGTTGTGCTCCCACGCCTGCAATTCAGGAGGGACATGCGGACCTACCCCTTCCGGGGCCTTCGCTTCCGCCGAACGGGCCGGCGCAGGCGCCCGCAGCCACTCCTGCGGCCAGCCCTGCGGCGTGCCTCGGCGCGGTTTCAGGGCGCAGAGTGCCTCTCGTGCGGATGGCTGGCAAGGCGGCTGGACTCGCGTGAAGGAATGTATTCATAAGTTCAGATGATTGGGTCATGAGATTGTTTTATCAGGAATTTCAGGTTGGCATTTTGGAACTAGGCCTAAAGGCGGCCTGGCAAGTTGAGGCTCTTGTGATTTATCATATTTCCAGTGTAATTTTCTCGACGGTAATTCTGATTCATTTGCTGGGTTTTCTGCGGCGATGGATCTGTGTGCGACAAACGCGCCTCATTACACAGCAGGCCCTTGTGCGAGTGTGGCCAAGGTCACCAGCGACAACGCCAAGGGCTGGGGCCTTATTGGGAGATACCATGTCTATTGGTGCCCTTTTCTGAGTGAAGAGTCACTTGGCAACCAAAGATAAATGCCTCACACAGTGGAGCATCCTTGTTTTGGAGAAGTTTGAAGTGCTTTTTCTTTGGGTGGCGTGATATTCTCTGGGGCGAACCTAGCTTGAGCCCTGCTGGACAGCGGAAGGGCCCTTGTCACTGGCGACCAGGGGAGATAGCAATGGGTCGGGCGCTGATCCAACACACCTCCCCCTTGGTAGGAGCACAACGTAATCAAGCTGAGGTTTCCTCGTGGAGGTATGATTGGGTATGATTGGTCCGAAGCAAGGGGCCCTTGCACCACTCTGAAAGAAACCACAAAGGGGTGGTCATGGCTTCAACACCTAGATGGCCCTCGGTCCGGCGGCGGTTTTCTCCTCCTCAGACGCTGTCGCTGTCGATGTGATCTGTCTCCTGCGAGAGGATTTACACGGTGTTTTGCCGTGTCTATATTTGCTTCTCGTTTGGGGATCTAGCATATTCGAGAACCTGCATGACAACTACGGATGCTTTAAATTCGGGCCAAGACCGACAAACAAATCCGTGCGCGTCGCCATGGGTCTTGCTTCGAGTTGACTGGGTAGGGGACAAACAACAGCCTGCGCTGTCATCATGTGGAAAGGGCTCGTTCTGGTGGGCTTTTGTGGAATTCGATGGGAGTCCCTCAGCATGTTGCCATGGCTGCTCCCAAACTCAAAGCCGTTAGCCACTTGAGGTTGTTCACGCACTGGCCGTGGCCAAGCCGACTTTCTCTTTCACTTTGGGCGACGGCAGTACCCAGTGGCCAAAAAGGCGATGTTGCAGCACCCGCTCTGACCCCTTGTAGCTGAAGCGGAGCCGGTGCCCTGCAGGCGCCGGGCGCGCAAGACACCACGCCCAACGGCCTGTCTGCCAGGCGGGCAAACAAATCGAAGGGGAGGACCTGTCGGGGATTCGGTATGCGTGAGTCGTGAGTCTTATGTGCTAGGGCATCTTCTTTTGCTGACAGGGGACTTTTCAAAAGCACTTGGCCTTCAGGGTCTGGTTCGGCCTGCGATTAAAAGAAGACCAAACGGAAAAAAACAAAACAAAAAAAAAAAACAATAAAACATGGAGTGGTCGTTGAAGCCCGTATTTGGCCCAACGCTGGAAGCTACTCAGGCCATCCCTTTGTCCTAGCAACGCAAAGATGATCTATTTCCCGCCTAAGTCAGTTCTTCCACAGGAGCTGCACTCAACCACATGAGCGGTTGACAAAAGATGACTCGTCTGGGGATCTCTGTTTATAGGGAAAGATTGTCCAGAAGATCTTGCTATTTCCGAATTTTCTCACTTTTGCAAGAACTGCTGCCGTGGCCTTTGAACAGAAAAGGGGAGACGTCTCAAGATACGGATCGCCCGTTTTGGAGGGTTTCAAAGTGGGGAAGACCAGAAGGAAATTAACCATCTGGAGGGGTCCCTCATTTGGAGCACACTGTGGGCCTCTGGCATTCCGACTGTTTCAAGAACATTGACATCATTTGTTTGAGCAAGTCAGGGAGTCTTAGCCAATCTATTGATGATTTGGACAGCTCTTTTCCATTGGCCTAAGCCTGCTCAAGAAACAGGCCTTACCTGAGTCCACCTGAAATACCTGAAGAATTCCTTGCCATTTGTCTCCTGGCTTGTGCCAGAGCTTGTTTCGCGCGAGAATTCGCCTGCCAGGGTGAAGAAGGCAACTACTCAGGCCGCGCCCCGAGAGCCGATGGAGAGGAGGGCGGAGAGAGTAGTATCTACAGCAACAGAGAAAACGAAAGCGTGGTCTCCAGAAGGCGTGGCGCCGTGCAGCTGAACCGCGACCATTCCCGAACCTGTTGATTTTCGTTCCAGCTGGCTTTGCGCTTAACAGGACCAGCCAAAAACCGACGATTCTTATTTCACGAGTTGGCCACTGGGCAGTCGGGAAAGGAAACGGATCTTCCAAAACAAATTGTCAGTAAAAAGCAAGAACTACAAGAAGGGGAAGACAAAAAGGATAGCGAATGTGGCGTAAGGTTTCCCGTTTGGCAAAGTCAGGGTTCGATCCCCCCCATAATCTCGTCCGCCGCATGATTGCAGCTGGGGAATCTGTCTCAGTAGGACCTGGTTCAAGTTTGGGGGCTGAATGACTTTTTGGATGTTCATTTGAGGTTTGTATTCTTAATATCTTGGCAACTCTTGGGCCGTACATGTCATTACTGGCTGTTGGGGTGTTGGGCTGTTGGGCTCGTTTTTGCGAATTCCTGGCAGTTTTAAAAAAAAACGGCCAAGTCGCCGGGGTTGTTTGCCAGCTTTCCTTTTCAGAGGTACACCCCGACTCCCAACTCGGCTTTGGCGCCCGAGAGCTTCCCGTCCAGGTGGAGCTTGCCGAGAAAGGCGCCACGGCGCGAGCCTGAACTCACAAAGCTGAAAATCCACTGACCAGGGGATTCCATTTTCGGAGGAGCCCCTAGACACATGCTGGCGGGCCTTGCGGGGCGGGCCACCAGCCGAGGCTGCCGCGCAGAAGGCCAAGACGACCCTTGCGGGCTCGCCAGCGCGGGCGCTCAGCGAGTCGTATGCTTTCTGCCCGCACTTTCCATTGTGTGTGTGTGTGTGTTTTTGAAAAACACATCCCGGCAAGCGACCCCAAACATTTGTACACGGTAGCCTTTGTGTGGAACACGCACGCTAAAGGCGTCAGGAAGTCGAGTGTTTTTTTCCTGCACCAGGTCTCTGCACAGGATATTTGAACAGGGTACAGGATCCCTAAGAGACCCTCTACAAGTTCTCGCTTCAGGATCTGTGGAGAGCATCCTCTGCAAGATCTCTCGCAAGGAAATCTTTGTAGGTCCTGCGCAAGATCTCTCGAGAGGATCTCTAGGAAGGACCAGCGGAGGATATCTGTGGGAGGATTTGGACGCGATTTTGGCACACGATCTCTGGGCAATAGGATCCCTCGGCAAGATGAGTGCACACAAGTTCTCTGTCCAGGATCTGTAGAGAGCATAGTCTACAAGGTCTCTTACGAGAAAATTCGTGCAGGCCCTGCACGAGACTGCTTGCGAAGATCTCTACGAAGGACCAGCGCAAGATATCCTCGAGATGATTTCTGCAGGATCTCTGCAGAACTCTCTTGGCAAGACGATGTCAGAATCGGCGCACTGCTGTAACGAGAGCGACTGGACGCGCGCAAAGTCCGCAGAGGGTACGCAAGCGCTGCCAGAACCAGCGACGGCATCTTAACGAGAGCAACTTGACACGCAGCGACACGTGCCAGACTACCGTATGGGTTGTGCAAACGATGAAGCATCAGCGCCGCGCCGCAACAAGAGCGATGCAACGCGCACGAAATGACCGCCGAGCCACAACGAGAGCGATCCGACGCACGCCAAACGCTGCGTGCACCACGAGGCCTGCATTTGGAACATGAAGAAATAAAGTGAGGAGCATGTTCCACTTCAACATCAATGCGCCTGCCCTGAAGAATCAAGTCCAGGCATCCGAAGTCCTGCGCCTGCCACGCGAACACACCAGCATGCACGCAACCCAGAAAAGACAACAGTCTGACAAATCGCGCGCTTTTGCGGTGAAGGCATCGTTCAAGACAGGAATTTGGCGTGCCTGCCACGTAATATGCATGTTTTCATTCTCGCTGCAAACGTGCCGCGCCTGCCACGGTTCTTTTCCACGTTTCCCATCAAATTCCAGACGCCTGCGCGGATGTTCGGTTTTGTTGGTTCTTGGGGGCAACCACAGTGGACACGATGATTGTTTGTGTTGCGCCATTTCTCTGGCGATTGTTGTCGCTGCAAGTGGTCTAAGTTCCGTATATTTACGGTTGTTTTCTTTCTGCTGTGTTGTTGCCCACCATTTTTGTTTTCGCACGGGGGAGCTTTGAACCAACAAGTTGTTGTGTTGCCTTTCATTTAAGCAGCCCGAATGTCTGTAAGTGTCGGTTTCCTTTTCCTTGCTGGACCAAGGTGGCCTTGTTTGTTGTTCCCTTGAAGGGTTTGACGTTGTTCGGTGAAGTTCACCTATTCACTTACCTTGACAAGTCCTCACATGGGCTCGTTTCCTTCTAACCTCTTTGAGGTTTCTCTTCAAATGGCTCTTTTTCCCGCTAGAATCATGGCCTTGCTGTTTAGTCGGAGGGATTGTTGCCTCGCAGGTCGCAGTGGACATCAGATGTTGCTGGGTTCAGTTCTGGGATTATGCTTTTCTTTTGGTGTTGTCGGGTCTGATTGGATACCATCTTGGCTCGCTGGTAGGTCCAACTCACCTTCTCTACCTTCTTCGTTCCGGCCCAATACCAAAATTTCAAAAAAGCCATACCACCTGCTGCCAAAACAGCCTGAAGAGTCCTCTTTTCCATACTCTCCTCGCAGCCCCCCGCTCGAGCCTCACTTGCGTCACCTTAGGCGGAGGCGGGGCTGAAGGAGCTGCAGCAGCAGCTGGCGAAGCAGCAGGTGGCGCTGGCGGAGGCCCAGAAGAGCACTACCCAGGCGAAGTGGGCGAAGCGGCGAAGACGCGGTTGAAGTGGATACGGGGGACCTGGTGTCACAGGCGGACCCGCAAATTGGGTAAACGGGAAGTCAAAGTGGGAGGGGGGCCGTAACATGGGAGCCCCCAAAACTCATTCTGACTCATGCTACTGCTTCGAGGCGCTTTGGGAACTTATGTTTTAATTGCTTGTAGCGCCAACCTCACGGATGTCAATGAGGCAAACCTACCTCAGTATTCAGATCGTGGTTCTAAATCACAGTGACCTGTTGCCTCCTTGGTTGTTTGACATTGAGGCGCTCCCGCAAAGGCGGCCCCGGGCCCCGTCAAACGGGTTCCTATTCTGGTTGAAAGAGAGGGCTTCGTTTACTCGTCTCTCAGTCCCAGGCCCCAAGTCCCAGCATTCGCTTGACCGTGCTGCAATGAACCACCTTTTGCGAGAAGGGAAGCATAGCCTTTGAGGCAAGCAACTTTGGTTTCCCGCAGCGTTATGCCTGTTCCAGGAGGTGAACGAGCTCAAGAAGTTGGGCTCGGCTGGGGCTGCATCGGCCCAGAAACCCAAAGATTTGAGAGTCTTCGAGCCACAACAGGGCGAGAGTCAGGACAAAGAGTGAGCGGCATTAGTCCTTTGCAGTTTGAGTTTGTGGGACAGTCACTTATTTCAGTTTGGTTCTTATCGTTTGCCAGTTCCATCTATTTGTTCACAAGGACACTTGGAGTGAGGGTGCCCCTGTACTTTCCAGATTTGATACGAATTTTCAATCCACCAAGTTGTAGCAGACTTTCTTCACACTGGAGCCCTTGCCCGTGTCGTTTCGATGAAGGGGAAGGACTTAAGTTGGAAGACCGCGTGAAAGCAATGATCAAGAACTGTGGTCAACGCGGCTGATTAGCTTGGAATTCCAGGTTTGCAAATTAACCCGGTACTAGGGGCTGTGCTGTAGACAGTTAGAACTCCTTTCACGCCCTCCCTGCTCCTTACACTCAATCAGTTTGGACCCGCAGGGGGAGACAGAATTTGTAATGTCCTCAGGCAACAAGCTAAGGTTCCGAATTGGCTGGGATTTCTGGCCAGTCCGGGCCATCCTGGGCTTATGGAAACCTGGAGACCGACTGAGCCTTTCCGCTGAAAGGTCGGGGAAATCTCCAAGCTGATGCCCAAGATCCGCGCGGCTCAGGTGGGGCACAGTTCAGTCGCTGGGACGCTGCTCTTGACAGTTAAGTGGGACTCGTTTGCCGCTCGCAGTGCTGCCTTGTTGCTTGGATCCCTCCCTCAGCGGTACAGGCATTTCTGGACAGCATCGGAGGCAGCTTGGCAGTTGCAACTCACCATTGACTTGATTGATTCCACACCTGTGATCAGAGGTGAACACTGCCGTGTGTTGGGCACTTCCTGGTTTGCTATTCTTCCATCCATGGCCACCTTACATAACATTACTTAGAAGATGGAGAATTTGCCAAGGCTTTGGTGTTCTGTCTGCGGCATGCTCGCAGAGTCTGGACCTTTGCACTCGTCAAATTCACAACTTGCTGAGGTACCCTGTTCAGCGCAAATACGCACGCGTAGAGGCTGTTTTGTGCGTTCGGACACATCTTCCGTGGACTTTGCTGCATGTGTAGTCCCATTGCTTCATTGGTCTTGGGGTCTTGCAGCCAAGGGCCTTGCCGCAGGTGAGCGTGAATTCTTCTGTGGGAGCTGGGGTTTCGTTGGCCTCAAAGGGCTGGGACGTTGAGAAGCACATCGTAATTGTAGCCGGTCAACTTGGCAAGTTGACATGTCTCAGACGGAGAGCTTGATGAGCGTCTTGTTGATCTGATGGTTGGTTGGCCCAGGTGTAGCTGGAAAGACATGTTTCACTTGGCCCTGCTCACATTTTTTTCATGCACAGCACAAATAAACAGCGCCCAAAGCCATTGTTGGCCTGTTGCGCAAGGGGTTCCACTTTCGGCTTGATAGGAATTATAGTGGGCCTGTCGGCCTTCCCTCCCCGCACATACCAAAATACATGAGACATAGGTCGGCCTCTTCTTCAAAACTCATGGGATTACTCATTTCTCCAAGACACACTCATCTTGGGCACTCTTTTCTGGGTTGCTTGGTTTCAAGGGACACCAGAAGGAACACCCAGCCATTTGTAAGTTGTTAAGCATACCCCTTTCTCATACCCCATTTGGATGTGGACGTGACCAGCCCGCCGGCCCGCCTCCCCCTCCGCTTCTCGGCGCCAGACGGCGCTGGTGGAACAGAGCAACGCGGTTCGCGCGCTGCTGGCGCCCGGCGGTGCTGCGCTCAAGGACTGGAAGTGGGGGGCGCCGTGATTTGTCAATTGTTTTGCTGCTCGCTTGCCTGCTGGCTTGCTGCCTTCATGCCTGCTTCCTTGTTTTCTTCTTTGTTTCATTGTTACTTTGTGCCTTTGTTTTGTTGTTTCCTTGTCTGGTTGTCTTGCTTTGTCTTGTCGTGTTTCGTTTTGGTTTGTTGCGTTTTGTTTTGTTTTTTTTGGTTTGGTCTTTATTTGTTTGATTGTTTGTTTGTTTGCTTGTTTGTTTGTTTGGTTGATGCGTTGAGGCTGGGTTGAGGGTTGGTTTAGTGCGGGTTTCTGGTTAGTGAGGGTTTGTTTTCTTGAGGCTCGGCTTTTAATCTCGATTTTCCATTTAAGTCAATCCATGGTTCTTGATTACATGTTCGTGTATTTGGTGTTTGTTGCATTTGTTTTGTTTGGTGGCAAGGATAACATATTCTCGCAAGTGACCCTAGGGGCCGGAGGGTTTGCTCGCCGTTATGTGTTTTTAGCATGTGAGGTTGCCATGCAGACGTTCGGACAGGCTAGTTTCATGATGGATTGTGTTTACGTATTTATCCGGTGCCTGAGTCAAACAGGCAAAAGAGGCCGAACGCAAGTCACATGGCGGCATACAGAACATTGCAGTTGCGTTTGTTGAGATGCCCCAGAAAGAAACGCTTCGCGTTGGATACACGCTCCTGCTGCTGTTCAGCACTCCGCCAGGAAAAGAACAAGGAGAAGGAAGAGAAAGACTTGAAGGACATCACTCCGGTGTTCTTGTTTTCGCCTATTCATTAGGCGCACGGCTCAATGCGGCACGAAGTGTGAGGCATGTCTCGTATTTTATTTTATGAAGTCTGTGTATGTGTTGAAAACCCTTGCAAATGGTTGGTGGACATGAACCCCGATGTATATGATGTCCACCAAAGGGTTCCCCAAACAACCATGACACTCATGTTGTGGCAGAAATATCTTTCGAACTACAAAATGCAGTGTCACAGCTTGTGGTGAGGAATTTGAAGAGGGACTGCCGGCAGCGAAAGATTTGACCTCGCTGGCTGAGGCACGGGGCGGGGCGCGCAGAAAGCGCATGGTGCATGTGAGGGGCCAATGCATTCTTGGAGCCCCCGTCCCATGGCCTTTACGACATAGGTTCCTCCCATGAGCAAGAGAACATCCTGCATTTCACAACAGGGGACATCGGCGTGTCTTCAGACTGGAGGGGAGATGAGTCTGCAGTGTGAGCCTTCGAGGATCGGATCCATCTTCCTTGCGGGATTCTGTGCGTGCTTGTGTTTGTGCATGCCAACCAAGCATGGGGGCTGTATTTGCTTCTTTTTTTTGCCGGGAAGATAAGTAAAGTACTCCCTCCCTTTGAGGTGCCGTTCAACACGCCACAGGTGTGGATAGTGCATCCCTTTTTTGGATACTCTTTCCAGCGCTCGTCCGACACACGTTTAGAGCAATTGATGGATTCAGGAACAAACTGCTTGGGGTCCAGAGTTGGGGATACGGCGTATGCGTGTGGTGATCAAGGCAAACTGAACCGACACATGGGTCGTGCTGCACGCTGCTTGGCCGGCTGCCTCCCGTGGCTTGACGTCTTGATGGCTCAAGAGCCTTGAATCCTTCTTTGGGTATGTGCCCAAATGGGGCGCCCCCCAAAATGTGGTTTCCATTTTGGTTTCCCTGTCCAGTCAGGGTAGAAGCAGAAATCCCCAGCTTCTTTGCTGCAGGAGTCGGTCGTGGCCATTGTCACAATGGCGGAGCCCATCATGTCAAATCCCCCGCCTGAGGGCAGCCGGGTGCTGAGAGTGGCAGTGTTTTTTTGGGGTGCTCTGCTGCGGTTGAATGGGGGCTTCGAGGAAACCTAACCTAAGTGCTTGGGTTCCGGGTTGGTTGGTGCTCCCAAGGAGGAAACCAACAATACGGAGATGCACGGGTCCCCAAAAAGGTCCATAGACTGTATGAATCCGGGGTTGACTTGTCCGGAGTCAAGCCTTATAACCTTTACAGCCCTGCAGCTTTGGCCGGACGCGGCAGGTTCGTGTCGTAAAATGCAGAACTGGGCAGGTTGCCCCTCCGAACTTTGCTGAGTGTCTTAGTTGTTTTCGCTTTCTTCCCGTTAAAGCACACACACACAGGCAAAGGGGTGTTCTGGTGCAGTTCCTCAGCTGTGGGTCTCCTTGTGCTCGTGCTTGAGGCTTCGCAGCCCCGAGGATGTCTCCTCGTGCTTGAGGGTCGTGTGAACAACTTGCGGCTTCCTGCAGGGTCTCGGGGAGCTTTGGTTTCGAGCTTACAGCTCCCAGGCGAGGATCTCAAGAAGGCCCTGGACGAGGTTGAGGCGGGGTCTCCGGGGTGTCAGTCGTTGCTTTGTGCTGCGTTGGTCCTCATCACAAATCACCTGTTGCTGTGCTCGCGGTCCTGGTGATCATCATGGCCGCTGAGCTGCTAGCATGGCCAGACGAGCTTGACCCAAACAAACATGCCACGCCTTCTGAAGCCGGCATATTTTCCTTCGACCTTGCGCAGCTAGCGGTCTGCAGATGTGTTTCATCTCGCAGTGTTGGGAGCCTCCGTACGTTGTAGCAGTAATTGCCAAGGAATCACACCACGCGGTGGCCATGGTCCAACCAGCCGCATGGGACCGACCGGAAGTTTTTCTATAGTCTAGTCACACCTGTCGTTTCGAAAGGTTCGGAGGCTTATGAAATTCAGACTCGCAGGTTGACGCTTTAACTTCCAAGTATGTTATTCCTATGATGATTGTTTTTACTACCATTGTTGTTCTTATCGTTGTTGTGTTTGTTATTTCTTTTTGTTTTTGTTATTATTATTGTTGTTGTTATTTTCTGATATATTTATTAATTGTTTTTTTCTTCTTTATATATATACACTATTATTAGTACTACAAATATTATTTATTGTTCTTATTTATTTACTATTATTATTATTATTATTATTATTATTATTATTATTATTATTTTAATATTACTTATTACACTGGCCAGACAAAAGTTGCGCTTCTTGAAGGTCACAGCGATGACAACCCTTTCCCCCTAGAATCCTTCATGAAGAGACTTACGGGGTACGCGCGGTCCATTTTGGACCCGGGAAGCTTGTTATCATTATAAATTTAAAACAGGCTGATAATTGACCGTCCCACGCCTGCCACACAAAAACGCACTTGTGTATTCGACCCGCCGCTGACCCGAAAGTATGTTTTCAAAACAGCCAAGAAGCATAGACTTTTGTCTGACTCAAGTATATTTTTTTAATTTATTCTTTATTGTTTATTCTTTATTTACTATTTGTACTATTATTATTATGATTGTTATTATTTATTAGTGTTATGATGTGTTTTTGTTGTTCTTTTTTTTAAATATTATGATTATTATTATTGTTGTTGTTAATATTGTTATTATTGGAGGGGTGACTCATTGGACTGGTGAGCAGGGGGTGCCTCATTAGACTGATAAACAGAAGCATGTCCAGGTTTACCGGGCCAACTTGGCACATAGCCTCTAACTAGTGATCTACCCGCATCTACAACGCATCTGCGCGCCAGACCACCGCCACAGACGCCCAGAACAAAATCACCGAGGTCGGGGCGAGCCATGTGGCTACGTCAGTGGCAAAACACCGAAGAGGGGCAAAAAAGAAAGGTACTTGCACACACTTTCCCTTTTTTGACTCTTTTCGTTGAGGGCGAGTGGGGTCGCAAATGCAGTGGGGGGTCGTAAGAGCACAAAGGAATCCTCTCTCGAATAACATTTAACCTGAAAACAAAAGGCAAACCCTGCCCCCCTTTTGAGATAAAGCTGTGTCAAAGGCCTTTCTTGGGACATTTCGTGGACATTTCTCGCCTACCCGTGCAAGCTAGGCGAGGAAGACCATTACGCAGAAGCTGGCGACGGCCCGGGCACCCGGTCCCGCCGTCCCTTTGATAAAGCTGCCGCGCCTCGGAAAATGCCCCTGTCCACCAACATGGAACCCACCCAGCGGGTCCCTTTTAAAGGAACATAGTCTTCCAGGACCCCTCAGTCAGGTTCCATGTTGGTGGAGGAAGGCTCAGTCAGGTTCCATGTTGGTGGAGAGAGGGTAGGTTGAGTGGGATTCATTAAGAACACAACAGATCAGTCAAATTCAAGAGTTTTGGCAGAAGGCCTGGATGTTCCATCCAAGTCATCTAAAAGCCTGGTTCATTACTTTGGAGGTTTTGCCATTCGTTTCGGAAAGCAGGTAGCAAAAGGGCAGCCCTGGGACGTGCCCGAACGGCGCCTGTGCTTTGGAAGGCACAGGCACAGGATGCGCCGGGTGCTACTGGATCCCCGGATTTTGTGAGAAGAGGCTTGCGGCTTCCGAAACTCCGACCACTTGCTGACTTTCTAGCTGGTTAATGGTCCTCCAAGTTTTCCTTGAGCAGAACGGCACCTCCAAGCTGAAGACTCACATGGGTCTTGCTAAGGCTCGGAGTTATGCGATAGAGACGCGCAAGGCAGCGGGCGGCCGGCCAGAGTGTTTTTTTTGTTTGTTTTTGTTTTAGACGTGTCATGGGCAACTCTGGGTGGCCTGTATGAGATGCGGTATGTTGCTTTTTGGGGAGGTTTGACTATAATATGGAAGTTGCTTGATTTGTTTATTCATTGCAGGCTGTCCGGTTTTCAGTGCAACTTGTTGCTCCCGTTCAAGACAAGTAGGTACTGGCCAGAAGGTGCATGTTCTGCTTTCCCGCATTGGGTACGGATTGGTGTTGGACGAACAAAGGTCCTCGCGGAATTGCCTTGCAGTGCAGGGAGCTTTCCCACCCCAGAAGCGTCGTTGCTGTTCGTCCTTTGATAGTTCTCGCACAGTCACCCTGGAGCTTCCACCTTAAGCGGTGGCCCCTTGCACTGAAGAGGCCTCGCCACAGCTTGGCTGTGGTGGATGCGTCGGGGGGTACGGCGAGTTGTTTGCTTGATGTCCTTCCACGAGCCAGCAGAGTAAGAAATAATGCTTGTAAGCCAAAGAGGAGCAAGGCAATGCTAGATTTGACGGACAAACACAGCCACAACAATTGCAAGGGTCACTTGTTGCTTCTATCTCGATCATTCGGCCAAACAACTGTGAGGGATCCTCACATTTCCCCTTTCGGAAGGGTCAACCATTGCAATTCATGTCCATTCGCACCCACCACCTATTCGGTGCTGAGGCGGGAAAGATGGGGTTGTCTTAAATTTGGGGAGCCGTCACACTGGGGTTGAAGCATCCGCAAGAGAAGCCCGGCGAGCGCACCCGGCGCATCCCCTGAGACGGCCATCGCGGAGTATGGGGCGCTGCAGGCGAAGCTGACAGAGGCGATGGGGCACCGTCCAGTGGACAGGTCTCCTTACGTCCAATTGGTGGATGGGTTTGGGGATGTGGCCAGGTTGAAAAAGCTAAATGAGAAGGCCTTCCCCCAACCTCTGGATCACTGACTATGCCAAACCGCCAATTTGGGACAAGGTGATGATAGGACGGCAGGGGAGTTGAGTTGTGGTTTAACGGTTTTGTGGTACTTGACATACTGTGCAAAAACCCTGAGCAAAGTGAACTTTTCAACTTTTCAAAGCGCTGGTAGAGAGGGGGGGGCTTTCACTTTCCAACCAAGTCTAGCCTTGAATGGCTAATCCACTGCTTTTGTTGCTCTCCACACATAAGCGCCTACAATTTTGCACTCAGGTGTATACGGATTTTTTGCATGGGCTGATGCTACAGGCGGCAGTACTAGAAAAGCAGAAGCGTGACTTAGACTCCGCGCAGCAAGCATACTTTGCCTTTCAGACCACGGAATCTGTTCCTTTGCACGTTTGCAGCCAGCCCAACTCCTCGCCGCGCCAGTCCCAGAAGAAGCTGATGCCCTTCAGGCGAGGGGCCCTCTCCAGGTAAACGGTGAAAGCAGATGGCGCAACCTCCTCATGTTGGCTTTTACCAACAAACCAGGGACATATAAGGAGATATTGCCATCTGGTTTCACCCTGGCGTACACTCCAGAATGGTTGGTGGACATGAATTCTTCATGATGTGCGAAGGTTCCCCAAATGACATCATACCCATGTTGTGTTTTCGGCTCTAGCGACCCCGTAAGGGACCTGATCCATGAAGGCTCCTGGCTGACTTTTTCAGGTGGGTCTGTTGTGTGCGTCGTAGTTGGGATCTTTCACATTTATGGGCATGTCATTGAAGCACCAGCGGCGGCCAGTTCAGGTGAGCTGTTTGATGAGTTGAGGGTTGGCTTCCTTCGTGCGCCAACTGCGATGGGTGACTTATGCATGCGCTGCAAGA